CAGGGTCCAGTACTTCCCAAAGCTGAATACAAAGGAACTACTTGTTCAGCAAATAAATAAGTAAAAATATAGTAAAATTACCATTTATGAAAAGAAAAAAAAATCAACTTGCGTTCTCTCCCTTCGCTCTTGTCTAAATCTCTGTATGCTCAGTGAAGAGCGAAAAGGACCAATTCCCACGGCAGCCCACCTGGTGTGTCAGCAGGGAGGACAGGGGGAGCAGCAGCAGGGGGCTGGGGTGGGAAGCTGTCTCCTCCTTCCCCAGTGAGAATTCTGGGCTTTGCTTGATGTTCCAAAGGTGCACAGTGTAAACAGAGCAGCACCCTAGATCTGGAGGAAATTATCTTTTATGCTTGTGAAAGCAGAAAAAAAAAATCCAAACTCCTCACCGTTTTTCCCTAGTGATGCCTACCTATAGCCCTGGCCTTGCTTGGCTCTCATTCCCACAGCACGTCTCCTCTTGCAGGTCACGTCTTTCACATAAAAGTGCTAAACTAATGCCGCTTAATGACAAATTAATGTCCATGAATAAAAAATACACCTCTAATAGCACAGAGTAATTTGCCATTACAATATCATCATTGGACATGCCCCTGGTTTAATACGATGTATTTAATTCATAACCTAATGAGTGATATATAAAAAGAGGGAGATGAACCCTGCAATTACATTTATGTGAGTCTGTCACCTTATTTGTAAAACCTTAGAGTCATTTACATTCAAATTAGAACAAATGAATGATTTCACAAAGTGCAGTGATAAATGACCACAGCAGCTCAAGACAAAACTGTATTTCCTGTGAACACATTAACAGTTTCCTATTATTTGTTAAAAATTACAATGTATATTGCCCAGTGTGGTGTGAATAATGACTTTTTTGCTGATTAGGTCAGAAGACTAATATGTAGCAAAATAAGTAATTTTTTTTTCTTTTCATTTTTTCTGAGTTTTGCTCTAAATTAACTACTGAAGTCTGGTGGATTCACACTGCCACCTGCTGCCTAGAAGTAGGTACTGCATGTATATTCCTTTCAAGGGAGTTTGAGCATTCACTACTTTGGAAGTTTTATTTGAAGAAATCTACATAGTAGTTATTTTCTACTAATACATTTAAGTTGTATATCATCATGGAGAATGTGACCTTGTGACAGGAAGAACACTTGCTAACTTCATAGGAACTGTGACTTGGCACAGTTGGTACGAAATATTTCCTTCTTTTATTTGAAAGCTAATCATGGTGCGGGGACAGGGGAACACCTTCAGCAAGTCACACATGGCTCTTAAAGCATCACTTTCAAGGGGACACACACAAGGAGCAGGAACAAATATCGGCGATCCTTGATTTTATGACCTCTTAGGAGCCTCAGCAGAAGCCAGGGATGTGTGCCTGTATATTTTTCCACTCCTGAGCTTGGAACAATCTCAGGGGCACGGAAAACCTCTGCCTGAAGGAGCTTCATCCCCTTGACTTCTCCCAAAATGCAAGATCTGTCGTAGGCTCTGATCACAGAAGGCTAGGGAAGACACTGTGCCTGGTGATGAATCTGGAGAGGAACCAGCCAGCCATGGAGCTCAGAAAAAGGATTTCCATAGGTAAAAATCGTGCATTCCAAGGGGCTTCAAGTGGAGCTTTCTAAACCAGATCTCAACATCCTACTTAGGAATTTAAATTTCTCCATCCATAGAAGGAAAATTATATCCACCTGCCCTAATGAGCTACTTGGCAGAATAGGAATTAGAGTCTGCTCAGCACGGAGAGGCCCTCAGTAAACACTAGTGCACTTCCCTGAGAAAGGTAACAATGCTCCAGGGCTAGTGTTTGGAAAGGAGAAAGGCTGGAAACCAACAGGCCCCTTAGGAGGATGTTAGGGACTAACTGGAACCTATGAGCAAGAAAAGTGAGAGTCTAAAGAAAGGCAAGCACGTTAGAGATGGAGAAAAGGAACAAGCATGTCATTTTCATTAGAGTGTGGATCAACGCCAGCGACTGAGCAGATAATGATGGTGAAAAAGACAATGTCCAAATTGCTAGACAACTATTGGGTAAATAGTGCCATCAATAAAAAGAATGAAATGCTCTCACATATTAAGTTTAGATTCTCCACATTCTGTTTTAGAGGAAGAGATGAGGTGGACAAATTCAAAGTTTGAGAAATTAAACCAGATTCACAAACTGTAATAAAGAACTCGGCCAACTGTACAGGTGCTGGACACTTCCACAGCCGAAAGCTTTCCCTCCACAAGGTGATCTCCTAGGGTTTCTCTTATGAAATTTAAACTAATGAAACACACCCACTTTCTGACACAGTCAAGGTAGCTCACACGCTTCGCTGGGTCCATTCTAAAAGCAATAATTGCTCTTTAATGAACTGGTGTAGGTTCAGAAAAGACAGGGAAGAGGACAAAAAGCACTTCCATTTTATCTGGATTACATCTGGGCTTTGGCTCATTAGCCTAATGGGCTAATTCAGTCGCTGTTCTCATTGACTCAGAGACAAGGCTCTTCTACCTGCTGTTGGGGGCCTCTGACCTACAGGGGGAAAGCAAGGGACTGGAGTCCCCCCAGACGCCCCAAGTTGTCCCATGGAGAAATCAGTGGCGTTTCCTTGTGCTCAGAGGATCTTCAGCCAAAGCAAAAACTGAAGGCAAACAAGACACCAAGAAACTTACACCAATTTTTCTTTTCCCTCTTGGACATGCCTCTTACAATTTTTACTTAATTGTAAGGCAGAGACACAGGGGAGAGGCTGATAAAACAGTCTGCCAGTTCACTCCTCCACTGCTGTCAGTGGCCCACAGCTGCTCCTGGCCACAGCTGGGAGTGGAGAAGTACAGCTAGATCTGACACGTGGGCATCAGGGAACGCCAGTGTTTGAGCCTTGCTGCTGCCTTCTGAGTGGCACTAGCAGGAAACCGGGCTCCGGAGCTGGAGGTGGGCACTGAACCCAGACTCTGACGTGGCATGCACATCTGTAACAATGGGCATCTGGACCATTAGATCAAATGCGTGACTTGTCCTGGGGGGACATACAGGGCACTATAGTGGGGATTTATCCTTAATATATAGGGCAAAAAACCAAAACGCAACGGATATTTAAGAATGAAAAAAAAAACTGAACATTTTAGTGGGAGTGACTTCAAAAATGTTTAATTGGACAAAGCACTGAACAGGTCTTGGTTCCTGCTTGATCGAAGTTCTACAAGTTTGACATCCTGCAAAAATCACAGCCAAACAAGAAAAATGCAGTCAAATAAGTGCATAAAGGGAAAATATTATTTGTGAAACGATGTTGGAAGTTTCAATCATCATCCAAGAATCCTAAATAATAACTGTCCAGAAAATATATCTTTTACTTCAGCAAAATAATGAACATCAAGAGTTAAACTGAAGTGTGTGAGCCACTTATTATCTCATTTAATCCATCCAGTGGAGTACAGGAAAATATCCATGAATTTCTGATGTATATCTGGAATTCTCACTTACTGAAAAACTCTAGACACACATATACACTCACTCATATGTGTCTATGCTCCTTATAATACACATCATGATAATGACCAGTGTTTCCCTTCTATGCGAACATGTACACTGATTATTATCTGATATGGAAAAACTGTAGGTTATTATGTTGCGCAAAGCTCAAGTTGCAATATTTGATGTAGAAATGTCAAACAAATGTAATTTCAATTTCACAAGTCAAACACACTTGGGGAGTCTTGTAACCTTTCTGTGTGATTCCCATTTGCTACTGACAGAAAATGATTAAAAATGGCTTTCCCATTCCACCCAACTATATTGTGGGGAAGAGAAAGAAAACCAAGATAAAAGTAGCTAAACATTTACTGTTAGACTAAACGTGATAAGATAAGGATAAAAATTTCATATGTTGTATTTGAATTGCTCGTTGGTTGAATAGGGCTAGCATTCTTCGCATTCTCCCTGGGAAGTACCAGTTTCTATTTTCCAGGGTTACTGGGAAGATGAAATAAGATGCTGTATTTGAAAAAAAGCTCTGTAGAATACCTAATGGGTAACAGAAGCTAATGATGAAGGCACATTTAGAATCCAAGCAAATGATTATGAAGGAAAATAAAGTAATTGGACAAGAAAATAAGATTTTTCTGCTCCCTAATAACCATGGAGTATACACATAGACAGAATTAAATTGTGTGAGTATATTTTTAAAATTAATTTTCACTGCTAGAATGCCGTAGTAAATGCAAGCGAAGGTCAGACCAGTGAAGGGGGAAAAAAAAAAAACAACTGGAGGGTCCTAAAATAGAAAATTAGCTCTTCTCTCTGTAAAATCAAAGAGCTTCGCAGCCACATTGTCTGCCTAATATGCTCTCTCCCACCTACTACACTGAGAGTTTCATCCAAGAAGAAAAATGGTCCTTAGAATCACAAAGGTGCGTGCTTCCTAAACAATTCTGCATCAGGGCAATGGGATGCAATTCGAATGGCTTTGAGATCTATAAAAACAGGCAAGGTTGTTACGAGGACTGAGCATGCACCATCTGTGAACACACAGCAGGGGCGTGGCATTGGGGAGATTTGCCTTCTTTCCTCCCTCCCACAGAGCTTTTCCTAAGCAGCCAGCACATCGGCAGAGGGAAGGACAGAATACTCATTCCTTCTTCAGCGTTTGCTGCTGGGGAAGCTCAAGGGATCATTAATTAGACTTTATCATATATTAACTACCAGTACTGAAAGGCTCAATGGCAACTCAACTGCTCTTACATTTGAGGTTGTTTCCCAAACAAGACAACATGGCTTCACACCAGGACCCTTTCTGATGGGCAAGGAGTGTGCAGGGAAATGTACACTTCCGTGACAGGGCCCAAGCACTGCCACAGAGCTTGTTCCAGAAATTCTACCACCACAGGCCACCCCCATCCCTACCTTTTACTTGACATTGGGCTTCAATGGGTACCGATTGCTCATCTCTGCAGGAGAAAGGATTGTGAAGAGTATAGCAGCAGCATGCAAGGCCACATACCTGGATGAGATAGTGAGAACACAAATTGAGAAGTTCCAGAAGTTGGAGATGACTTCCAGCTGCCAACACATCCTGGATCACGCCTGGCTCCAACAAAATCTGTTTTTTTTTTTTAAAGGGAAAAGAAAACTTTCAGTTATAATAAAACTAATAGGTGAATATATAATATTATGCTTAAATTGATGTGTTACATGTTCTGAGTTCCTACTTCTCCTCATTAAGGAAGTCATTTCTTTTCTTTCTCTTCTGATGAATGAAACGTGATCTTTGTTCCAATAACTGAATTATTTCATTCCTATATAAGCTGATAAACACTTTTGTGCATAAAGCTATGTGCTTAATAATTTTTTAATAGAGAAAGAACAACATGAACTTCTAAAACTTTGGCTTGTGATATTGTTGTATAATATTAAAGTATCTTAGTCTTCTGAAGTGTCTTTCAGAACTTCGTGCTTTAGTAGATCACACAGACAGCAGGACTAACAGGTACTTTCACGAAAACAGCTGAGCATTTCTGCTTGTCATAGGAGACCAGAGGTTGATACTATTTCATTTTATTCCTAAAGCCTAAAACAGAAAACTTCAGCCACAAACTTTCATGTTTCTTTTTCTACAATTTCTCCAATCTTTTCTATTTGAAATAAGAGATGAACAACAAGTTACATTTTTTTCCGAATATAAACATAGTAAAAAGCAAAAGCTCTGGAATGACATAAATTGGTGATATATATTTTTTGCTGCTCAACTATGTGCCTGCTCTGAAGTGCTAAATAGGCCTGGAGAAAAACACACAACTGTGTTGACAAAATTCACTATACATGCATGACTACAAGTGCAAGGAGGCCTCACTTGCCACCCCAGTGCTTGGGCCCAGCCATTCATCCTAACCCATATCCTAGGAACAGGAGCTACCAAATCTGATGCCTGGATTTGCTTGCATCAACTGGGAACTTGTGAAAGCTACAAACTCCTGCGTGTATCTGGGACCTCTGAATCACAACGTCCAAGGTGAAGTAACTAATTTTTCCACAAAGCCCCAAGCATAGTTCTGATACACAAGGAAGTGAAAGCAACGCTGACGTCATCCCTACCCTCTTCTGCTCTGAGTTACACATGCTCCTTTCTCCTCAGGCCTCTGCCTCCTCACCTGCTCAGTGCCTTGGTGTTTACTACCACAGTACCCCAGTTCAAAAATGCAAAATCTGATATGCTCCCAAATCTAGAACTTTTTAAAAATTGACATGATGACTTGAGTGAAAATTGTATGCAGTGGCAGTGACTGTCCGACAGGGAAATACACATTGCCCCTGCTGGCTTTGCCCCTCCCTCCCTCGTTCTCACGTGTACTGGTTGGGTGTTGTGGACACATCTGGTACAGCTCACTTCACCTTGGTTTTCCATAATGTGCACTGGTATGTGTTGTGACTGAATCTGGCCCGAACCACACTCTGTTCTGGTGCTTGGATTTGCAGTGGGTGATGTGAACTGATTCAGCCTGGTCTGTACCAAACCTGTATCAAAAGTATGCCAGTGGGTATCTTTCCCTGGCCTGGACTGGGCTGCACCCCATCGTGGTTCTTGTGCTCACCTGCAGGGACTGTGTTCTGACAGAGGAGTTTCCCAAGCTCCTCCATCAGAACCTCTCCTATTGCCAGACTTTGCGTGTACTGGTGGGTCCATGGACGTGCCTTACTTAGTACACCTTCTGTCCTAGCAGGAACAGTGGCTTTTCCTGACTTGCTTTCAACCCATTCTGGTTCTTACTGTTGAATGTTTCAGCCCAGCCAAGGCTCGTCCATATCCAGACACAGCTTGCACAAGGCTCAGTAGGGGCAGAGATAGCCTAGTCCATCCTACATCTACCCTAGTTCTCCAGAGCATCAGATGGTGCTGTATCTAACCCAGCTTGGTGCTTCCAGCCCCAGGTCAAACTTGTGCCACAAGATGCTGCAGCCATATCCAGACCAGAACGTATCCCCAACTCTGGCCCCTGCACTTAGCAGTGGGAACCCCAACCCAGCAAGGGTGTATTCTCACAGCTCTCCAAATGGGCCTATTGCCAGCCATAGATTATGCATGTGCCAGAGATTACTCTGACCCACTGGGCTTAGCCCCTCACCTGTCTCAGCCTTTGCCTTCAATGCTGTGGCCAAGTATCCCTGGCTCACTCAGACCAGTCGGTATAACAGCCCAGATTGGCATGACCCGTGTTGCATCCTGATTTCTGTTCTTCCTTGTGAGTTAAGGTTTACTTGGCCCTGCCTAGTCTGCCCCCTTCTAGTTGAAGCCTGGCCCACTGGACATCCTATTTTAGCCTGCACATTTGGGCACTGCTGCCTTGACCTGCCCAGACTGTTGACAGTTCCTTTACCTGTAAGTGATGGCAGGTGCCATGGTCACACCTAGCTCAGCCATCACCACTCCAACTTGTGAGTTAACCTGCAGGACTTGTATTTCCACAGGGTTGGGCCCACACATCCCCCACAGATTCTACCCTGGTATCTGGTTCTCTTGCATGCTGGTTACTATCTTGACCCTGCCAAGTGTGACCCATCCCCTCTTTTACCATTCAATCAGGTACTGGCACCTAGCCCTGCCAGACAGGCCCCCAGCCGTAGTTTTCGTGTGGACTGGTATATGGCAGTCAGTGATGCCCTACGCTAACAGCTCATTTCAGGATTCCCATGTGAGCTGGTGAACCAGTCTGGCCCAAATAGATCTTATGGACTTTGCCCTCCAAACCACCAGGTCTCTGTCCCCATGCTTGCAAGCAAGTTTCTTGACCCCATCATGGGGAGTCATGGATTCATCCCTCACCTACCCTCACACTGGGCTTATCCATGGATGTTCCAAGGCAACAATTACATACCCTAAAAACCCTAGCGCTTCCAGCCGGGCAGCCAGAAGGCAGAACCTGGTGCCCAATTGACGCCACCCAACAGCCTAGGACTTGCTCACCGTGTGGCAATGGTGTCTTTGGGCATTGGGTCCGACCTGGCTCCGGCACCCTTCACAGCAGCCACACTGCAGAAGACTCCTTTTGCCCCAGCCCTCTGGCCAAACACTGCCCAAACTCTTCCTGCTACAAGAGGGTGGCGTTAGGAGCTTAATCCAGTTCCCAAGATTCCCTCATGGTGCACTTACCCTGAGGTAATAAATCTCTCTGGCCTGGGAATGTCTAGGACTCACTCACTATGTGGCCACAGTGTCAGATTTGCAGACAGGCTTTAATGCAATTGGAAATAGATAAAGGCGAGGCATGAATTTTTCTTGTTCCTAGGGTCATCTGTGAAGAATATTCTCTCCGGGGCCTGGCATAATGACTCTATTGGGTAATCCTCCCCCTGCAGGTGTTTTACTTCTCATCCAGCTCCCTGTTTGTGGCCTAGGAAAGCAGTGGAAGATGGTCCAAAGCCTTGGGACTCTATATCTGTGTGGTAGAGTGAATCAGTGGATGGAAGATCTTTCTGTAAATCAGCTTTTCAAATAAAAGCAATTCTTTTTTTCATTAGTCAGTTTTAATCAGTATGGTATTGCTTAATGTCTTACACTTTTATTATTTTATTTGTTTCACATTATTATTATTTTTAAAATTTTACGATTCAGTTCCATAGGTTCTAGGGTTTCCCACTCTTGTCCCCCTTACTACTGATTTCCCCTGTAGTATTGCAATGCATGGTCCTTCATGAACTTTCATTAGTCCATCATTCTGGTATTGAAGTGTTTCCCAACATTGTTGACATGGACAATGCCAGAGAGTCCAACATCCTATTGTCAGGATATTTTCAACAGTTTCACTGGAAGTCCATCTTTGGTCTGGATGCAGAGAGGCATATTGCACTATGTCTCCACATCTGAACATGTCAGTTTCCACTACACTTCTATTATACAATCCCCAAATTCAGAGCCAGAAAATGGTCCACAACAGGGCAAAAAACCAGAAAAATTACATCAACATGAAGCTAAACAACATGCTATAGAATAACCAATGCATCACTAAAGTGATGAAAATCAAAAACCTTATTGCAGAAAGTGATGCTCCTGCATGACCCAAACAGCGCTGAAGAAATGACAATAAAAAGCAAGAATGACAATAAAAACAAGAATATCAATGCCCATAACATGTAGCAAAAACAGTGCTGAAAGACGTTTGCAACCTCAGGTGCTTACACACAAAATGTCTCATATGAGTGTATGATCTGTTAATAAATCACAAGGATTTATTGAAAAAGACACAGAGACACAGAAGAATACAAAATGTGAAAAGCTAAGATTCACAGCAAAAATAATTGGATTGAAACCAAAAAACTGCAAATTGAAACAAGAAGGAGACATTCTCTAAGAAAGGCAAAGCGAGCCCTTAGGCATATTAACAAAGAACGTTATGAGAGAAAAACCACTTAAAATTAGAGATGGATGAGAAATGGTTCCAACACTGTTAGTATAAGCAATAGTAGAGATTCTGATGTTTTGCTGTCTAGGTATATTTTCAAGTTTCAATGGGAGTCTACTTTCATTCCTTAGTAGAGATGCATTTGGTTGATTTTCTTTGTTTCCTGGTAATCTGGTGTCTATTATATCCTTCAACACGCACACACACACACAACACATCTTCTCCCTGCCTCTCACCACACTTGCATCCCTATGACTGAACACAGGAAAGTGAATTTGAAAGAGTGGAGGCAGACAAAAGTGCCTGGTCCTCCTCTGAAAGTGTCCAGGCCTCTCCTAAGAAGGGTCTTCAAAGATGAAACTGGAATTGAGAGGTGGGTCAGGGCAGCACAGAGACCTCACTGTACCCCTGTTCTTTTTTTTTTTTCAGCTCATCTTCCATCATTAGTAGATATCTACCCCCTTGATTCTGTCTTCTTACTCTGTTTTCCCACACTTCCCACATTTCCCTTGCCTTTTGATTAGCTCCTGGTAGACTGCCTTTAATAGACCGGGCAAATCTCAGTGTGATCTTCTTTGTTGCCTGTGAAAAAGTGATTTGTTATTTTCAGAAAATAATGCACCATCAGTTTTCTAAATCCATCCTCCTTACGTGTTCTTCAGGAGCTTTTTCAGTTACTGTCTTCTGAGCTTGTAGACAGAACAGA